AAAAGCCTGTGTTTTTAGGGTTATTAACAAAGTTCGTGTACTCAGACCAGTAATATTTGGGGTCACAAGTTTTTGCCATGGATATTTTGTGGACCAGAAGGTAAAAAGTTTGGGAACCACTGGTCTACAGCCTTTGGTTGTTGGTACCTAGTGCATTTTAAACACATACGTGTGTTTTAAATGCAGATCTTAGGAGTCCTAAAAACTATGTATGCAGGCAGTTTTTAGGACACCTTAGTTCGTCACTGTGGACCCCTTATATAAAGCTTCAGCAGCTCTTCAGTCTTTCTTTCAGGCTGTCTATAGGGCCATGGCGCGACACAGAAAGATATGGTCAGGGAGTTGTTTCAGCCCAGACAAAACGTGAGATTGTTTTAAATATATTTAGTCGTAATGTGAGTAATTTCTCAGTTTTTTTAGTGGTTAATATGTGAAAGAAAGACCGCTTTGTGTAGCGGCCCTGCTAGCACGTGGTGAGACATGATGGCGAAGAAAGAGCCCGATTTGTGGCCATGGTGATTTTATTCACTAACATCCTGGAAAACTTAATGTTGACCAAGAAAGGTGAGTTTTGCACTGAACATAAGTAATGCATATAACCTTTATCTTGTAGTTTTAGAAATTTTAAAGACCCCAGTTTGAAAATAAAATAAATTCTGATAAGCTTTTCAGTAGCTCAGTGCATTTACGACCAAGTTGTTAGTTGTGGTTTAAGACTACTACAACCTTTAAATTACATTGCAATTCATGCAAACACCTCTATTTTAATAAACCAATTTAAGTTTCATATTTCAGCTATAATATTGTGCAGCTTGATGATGTTATAAACTAACAGAAATCCACTCCTTAACTTTAACGTTAACTTAAATGGAAACTAAGAATCTTTATTTTTAACTTTCATTTTTCAGGTGTGCACTGCTGGAAGATGCAAAACTACGAAGTTTGCAGCCAGAAAGAGGTGAGTTATAACAGAATGCCACAGCTGGACAACATGACAGAATATTAATTTCTGCATGTTCATAATTTGAGTGTCAAATAAAGAAGATTGATTGGATTTAAGGCATGCAGACGGGTTCAGCAACCGATGCTTTAAGTACAATTAGTGTATGGTTGAGTGTACAGAACTATAATCCAGCTTTCATAAAGTTTTAACAGGCAGTCCCACCACCAAATGATTTGCTGTAATAATTAAATGCTGCCATGACTGTTCTGAGCAAGCATGTTTTTACATTTCCTCTGTGTGAGCAGGCGGGGCGGGGCCTAATGTTGTTGTTTACTGTGCAGGTGGTCCACACTGACTGGACACCTCTGCAGAGTGTACTCCTCCAGGTGAGTCTGAAATCTGCAGACCTCTGTCCAAACAGAGTTATGTGGGATGATGATTCATGGACTAGAGTCTCTGAGAAAACCATGAAGTTGTTTTTCACTCGCACTGACCACAAAACCACAGTGAAATGAAGTGTTTAATCCATTAACTGCAGATAGTCTAATACAGTTTATCTTCTGACCTACAAAATATCCATGGCAAAAACTTGTGACCCCAAATATTACTGGTCTGAGTACATGAACTTTGTTAATAACCCTAAAAACACAGGCTTTTTGACAATCTAAACAGCTTAAACACAAATATAAATACTTATTTATACTTATTTTGTGTTTTTGTAATAATTATAGGGAAAATATTACATCAGCAATTATTTTATTACCCTTTAAATGATTTCTGGAGATTATCCAAGGTGCTTCATGACCCATAATTGGGTCCCAAGCCCAACTTTGGAAACCTATATATTGTAGGCTCTAAGTATGGTCATTTTAACCAAAGGGTAAGATGTTAGCTACACTGCCTGACTAAATGAATTTGCTACATTAAATTGTCTGCAGTAAATGGCCGAACACACGTAAACACGGAGAGTTTCCTGAAATGTTTTGGTTTGTTTGGATATGATGGTAATACTGGTTTGTTCCTGTAGGTGATCCACACTGATGATGAATGGTGTCCATATGTGTAAGTATCAGTTACAGATGCTGTGTTTCTACAGCCCTGTGATGTTAACTCATGTTAACTTGTCTGATTGGTCGATGATGATTCAGAGTTTCGGTTCTACTGATTTTAACTGAAGTCTACTCTCGCAGCGCACTGAGACCCATCAGACTGCTTTGTAATTTAATTTTATTTCAGATTCAAGGTTGAATCTGAAACATGTTTAATCATTTTGTCTTTTCACAGATGCTGAAATTCAGGCTGGGATGGAGTCAGATCGTCCAGCTACAGCCACACTGGCTCAGTGCTTCTTACTGTTATATTTAACTTGAGTAACATGAACACGAGTTTTTGATTTCTGTACTAAATCTATTATGAATCTAAAA